TAAATGGATTAGCAGAATTTGATGGTGTTGCGTAAAGGGTAAAATAATTTTCAAGGTTCTATTTCAAGTCTATTAACAAAGGAGGCAATTGATATTACAAAAAAATCAATTTTGCCATTTCTGACCTGTATAACTAGTACAAAATGGTTAGTAAAATTGAGTGCTGTGCAACTAAGAACATTGCCTCCTGGTTATTTGAGTTGCTCCTATTGTAATCAGTAATGATTATTTTAGCTGTATATTGTTTTCAACACTAGTTTAGGGCATAAAGTACACAAAGAAGACCACAATAATAAAGTCGGAGAGTTGCAGTCTTGTCTCTATAGAAACTAATGCTGGCTGTAAACATGGCAAAAGCTGCATGCCTCAGTTCTGCTATCTCTGAGAACTACTCCCAGACAAGCCAGAGACCGGCCCCCTCTACTCACACACACTCATGTAAACACACAGTACCGTTCTTCCCCGCCTCAGACTCAACACAGCCACGGCTATTTCTGTTCCACAGACTGATAGCTCCTACTGAAGATCATTGATTTTACGGGAAGCCCTGTTTACAGGCTGAGTGCCATCGACCTGAGGTGACTTTTTGCCTCCTGCAGTTGGAGCAATACAGGAGCAGCCTTATGTCTGCATTAGCACAATAGCAGACAGAATATTTACAGCACATCATAAACAACAATGCTGCACATGCTTAATTGTCTGATTTACAGTGTTGGGGAACAAAGAGAACAAGAACTCTACCTAATATAATTAGAATAATTTATTGTGGTTGACAAATATTTTTGGCTCTCAACTATAAAAACATGTGACCTTGTGATAGCACTGAAATATGATATGTGTTTTTGACTTTCAGACAATGTGAACTAGTGCATTATTTGAAGAAAAGCATGAATACAAAATGTGTTTGAATGACATTAAGGGAATTTATTTATCTTGATTCAGCACAGTCAATTATCTTGCGACAGCAGGCTGCCAGTTTAGTAGCACAGTTGCACTTTTTCAGATATAGCATACGTATTCCTTAGCTGAGTTTCAGGTTATTGTATTAGATGTTGGCTTGAAGGCCACAGTTAATGTATATTAGAGACTAGAGCAGGTTGAATAGAGAGTAATGTAAAAAAGGTGGAAAGAGACACTTGCAGTGCAATGTTAGAGATGTCAATTCCCTCACAGCAAGATCACAGTTTAAAACCAGAATGTATTAAGCCATGTCAGGCATTAAAATGGGCTTATGTTTAAAAGTGCAATGCATGAACGCATTTATTGGTGATTAATTGGAATAAACCTAGGAGATAAACCCAGGCCTCACTCTGCCTGAGGACTACAATGGTTCTCCCATCAATGAGCATGTCCCTAGTGCAACATCAAAGGCCTTCCCCTGCTTTATCAATAAGAACCCTTCCTTCCCACATCTTCCTGTAACTTGCTTAGCGTTCACGCCATTGATTTTCCAATAAGCGCCCCTTACCCTGCGGTGGCTGGCCAGGCTCTGTGATGGCTCAGAGACTAGACACAGACAGGCAACATCACTGAGGGACAATTGAAAATCAGATCTGGTGTATTGTTAGGGGTCTCTAGGCTGATTAAAAAACAGTGTTATTCTATTTTAAAGAGGTGTTCCCTTACTGCTGACGTGTATTCAAATAGGAGTAAGGGTCGGCGCTGTATCACCCCCACAGCTAAGCAGTATTCACAGCTAGGGCCGAGTCAGAGATAATTCCCTCAGGAAAGCCTGGAGAGTAGGGTCCTCTGGAGGGAAGGCCAGGCCTCCAGGCAGGTGATCAGGCATGCTTATAATCAGATGGTTCCTTAGCCTTTAATTCTTCCCCAGTTGGCTGGTAGATCCCAGCTAATGAAAGGACCCATAACTTATAACTTATCTCATTTTCTATCTCTACAAAATGACATCCAGACCCACTCTTTGACAGTGTTCATTAGGACTCAGGCCTTTTCACAAGGTTTAACCTTATATGCTTTGTTAGGGTGGGAGGAGATGCAATATGACATTTTATTGTTTAGTTAGAGGGGAGAGAAAGAGAGAGCAGGGGGACCCTGGCATAAAGCCTTTGAAGGCAGGTGGCAGCAAGAGTGTGTGTGCATTGGCGTGCTCTCCCTCAGATCAGCTCAGGAATTTAGCCTTTTCTTCCCTCTGATTATCTCTTATTGTCAGTTAAGGCTTGTTTTGGCTGCATACAGCCGGCCTATTGTCAACCCAGTAGGCCCACATTCAGAATTATGATACAACACATGGGCCATGGCAGGGTGACTTGTTTTGCGCAACTAGCATTAGTGCCAGTATTCCAAGGTGTTGACAACTTTTCTCCATATCACAGTACATATCCATACATAATTCCACTCTGCAGTAGTCACCTTTAGCAGGCTGCTCCATCATTTTGATTTGTGGTTATTAACACAGTCAGCACACAGAGACACTGGCCTCCTCCACTTCCCCTCTCCTTCGACCGCGTCTCTTTGTCTGTCTCCCCGACTTGTTTAGTGCCTCCCAGAGATTAAAGCTTTTCCTGCTTTAAACAGGTGTCACTGAGCCAGGCAGACCTCCGAGAGACAAACAGCGTTATATCTGTTGGCCCATCTGCGACTCCCCGACTCCAGACAATCCCATTGCTCATCAGTAACCACTGCAGGTTATTGAATTACACCATCTTGATTTTAAAGGGCAATCCTGTTTTCTGTAAGCAGTGGACACACCAAGCTGGCTCAAAGCTCCAGCACTGATCAAGAGTCATCGTGTTGTCTTGTCTACTGCTAATTGCTTCAGGTATCTTACAGGAGTAATATGAATGGATGGGTGTATACACTTACTACTGTACACTGTGACTTTTTTCTCAGACTTAAGTAAAAATAATCAAAAAATAAGACTTTTGAATCAACAATCTTAACTAGCAGTTGTGCTTATTGCACAGTGTTCCCAGGCCTGCTTGAGAAAGGCAATGGAATCCGGAGGAGGAGCTGATGGAATAGATTACAGGAACAAAGTGTGAAACACTTCATGCTCAGACAGGACACATGGACATTTTTCCCCGTGAGGCAGTCCTTTTTAGACATGTCATATATTCTTCTTGTTTTCATTTCATTTTACAGTATATCCATAGGCTTTTAGTTGAAGAATCACTGTCTGTTTGACATGTGGCATATCTTTATTTCATGCATTACTCTCGCTGCCCTCAGTCCATTTGTGTGAAATGGCTGTTGAGCACATTGCCTCTTATTAATGGAGCAGATAATAAATACAGACCAGTGACGCTAGTATCCCCTCACTCAATATGACAGCCATCTCTAAATCATGTCTGGCTGTATAAAGCAATCTTGTTAATAAGCCAGCCAGTCTAATATCTTTCATTTTATATGCAAAGCAAGGCAGGGGTCATCAGGGTCATCTCAGTGTTGTGTCAACAAAACAATTGGGTGGACCATACTGACAGAAATGTCTGCCCCTGGGTATTTATGACAATAACATCTACATCATCTTTGCAGTCATGATGTAAATGCATTGCTTTATCATTAAAGTAATTATTTCTTTATTATTTCTTTATACGTTTTTTTTCTATTGTTAATGAGGTAGTCCAAAGACAATAGCAAACCTTTGAAATAGACGTCCATTATTTGTGTAGTTTGAGTGCATATAGACTACAGAGCTCTCAGGTACTATATGTTGTGTGGGAGACAAGCTTCATCAGACATTCAAGAAGTAGCAGACAGACATTATCAATCTATCCTCTCTCTCAGTGGTTAATATGTTAGGGTGTGGGGGTAGACTCCATTCTGATCACAGCTGAAATTTGCATCCCTAAGTAAATAAGTAAATAAATCAAATGCAAGCAGGGAATGTGCTAATCAAGCGGGACATGGCAGTGAGCTTGGTGCCGGGAAACTTTGCTCATGTAATATTCAGTACTGCTGGGTTAAAGGGCAGCCCAGAGTTATTGGTTTCAGCCCGATTGCCCCCTTTAATCAATGTTGGCTGCATCCCTTTAATAAAATTATTAGCTCAGCAGTATCTTGCGCTATCATTTTATCTCTTCTGTGCTCTAAATTGCAGCCTGTGTTGGGCCTCTCAGATGCTCGGGGCATGGCCAGCTCCCGTAAGCTCAGCTCCCATTTATTATTTTAGAGGCGAAGGGTGGCTGGAGTGTTTGAAACCAGGCTGAGCGTAGAGGTTATTGGATGCAAGATCTAAACACAGCTGCTATGAAGTCCCAACCCAGCTTATGTATTTTTGGCTCATAGAAAAACTGCCTTTTACTGCTCTTGTTAAAGATCATACACATCTATATCAGTAGTGCACATGTATTATATCCTTCTTTATATATATACATAACTTGAAGATGGAGTGATAATGGTGATACTGTGAAGAATCTCTTTTTTTAGATGCAGTTTTCCCTTTTTCTTCCAGTTATGTAAATGTGCAATGTGCTGATGGGTGGCTTCTCAGTGTCTAATTATCTCACAGGGAATCTATTTGATCCATTAAGTTAGCCTGTTTCTCCTTTTTTCTGACTGCAAGTTAATTAAAAACGGATGTAGGATTTGCAGAATATACGATTAGGGGTGTTGTTTGGAAGGTGAAGATAAAAGATGGTACCTTCCTGATATGGCAGGAAGATGAATCATGGACGGCTTATTAGTGCTTGTCTCAGGTATTGTGTTTAAGTACCTAATCTAGCGTAATGAGCAAGATGTCATTTTTCCAATTATATCTCAGACTTTTGTCTCTCACCCTATGCACTATACATTTGATTTTCTTCTTTTAAAGTTCCTATTCATAGCATCTTAAATGTTTTCTTTAACCAATCTTTTCTTAATAGGCATAGTTATATTTGAGAAAATATAGACATCTTTGTTTGCAAAGGCATTGTAAATTATGAGTTGTAGCATGATCAACCATGAGTTGTTTGTGCCTATGTTTTTGTGTCTATTTTTAAATCTAACATCTCAATTTCAACAATAACCCCTTATCTCACAATTTTGTGTCTCTACAGGCCTGGATGCGATGAACGCCTCATGTAGGCATCAGCATGGACAGCTGTGAGTCTCCTGTGGTTTCTGGGACAGACGATGGGCTCGGCTCCTCCCAGCAGCAGCAACCACCACAGCCCTGGAACGATCACTCTAGCTCACAGGTCCCTTGCACCAACCAGGCCCCTTCCCTGGACCCCTTGTCCCTCTCTGCTCCGTACCCCTCTCAACCCAAAAACTCCAGTGCATCTCATGACGGAGTGAGAGAACCACTGTCCCAGCAGCAGCAGCCAAAACAGATATCACCCGAGGCCCACCGTGATAGCTCTGCCACAGGCCAGCTGCATCCCATAAGAGAGGGTCTTGAAGAAGAAGAGCAAGAGGGAATAAGCTGTGGAGAAGAGGAAGAATCTGAGGACTTAGATGAAATGGAGATTGACAGCTGTTTCCCAAGTCTTCAACCCTTTCCTGGGGTGCCAATGGCTCCTGGGGGAGGGGGCATGCCCACTCTTTTGCGACATCAGCCCACACGACAGCAGGGAGCACCTGAGAGTGGGAGTGACGAAGGAGAGGAGGAAGAAGAAGAGGAAAGTAGTGATGTGGAGAACCTTGCTGGTGAGATAGTGTACCAGCCAGATGGCTCCGCCTACATCGTAGAGAGCATCAGTCAGTTGATCCAAAGTGGTGGGGGCATGGGCAGCCTGCTTCCCACAAACTCTCTCACCAGTGTGGGAACACCGGGGGATCCTGCTGGGACTTCATCCTCGGTCTACCCTCACATCATCAACACGTTCCACATAGCCTCGTCCTTCAGGAAGTGGTTTGGCAATTCAGACCAAGGTTTCCCCAATACCTCAACCATGGCAGGCCTCAGCCCTGTCCTGCACAGTTACCGTGTCTTTGATGTGCGGCACAAAAGCAACAAGGATTACCTGAACAGCGATGGGTCTGCCAAGAAGTCCTGTGTATCCAAAGATGTTCCCAACAACGTGGATTTCTCCAAATTTGATGGGCTAGCCCTATATGGCAAGGGTAAGCCCATTCTCATGTGTTTTCTCTGCAAGCTGTCCTTTGGCTATGCCCGTTCCTTTGCCACTCATGCCGTCCATGATCACCGCATGACACTGTGTGAGGACGAACGGCAGCTGCTAGGGGACAAGCAAGCATCTGCCATCATCCAGGGCATTGGGAAGGACAAAGAGCCCCTCATCAGTTTCCTGGAACCAAAAACAAAGAGCACTTCTCTGCCACCTAACCTGCTCCCTAATAACTCTGGCCAGAGCTTCTATGGCACTTTTAGTGGTGTCCATTTGGAGCCTGGAAGCAGCAGCAGAGGCAGCGAGAGCCTCCTCAACAAAGACTCTGACTCTGGTCTCAACCACCAACAGCAGCAGCAACAAAACCCACTAAGCTCAGTCCTCTCTCTTGGAGGGCTGAGCATTCCCAAAGCATCAACTCTTACCTCGTCCTCAGGCTCTGCCAAAGACTCCAGTGCCCTGCTCAAACAGGGAGGGAGAACAGAGGAGCCTGCTGGGAAAGAGTTGGCATGCAAGGGAGAGGATGGGGACACCAAGGGAAATGAAAACAAGGCACACTTATCGAGCCAGATTGGGTGCTCGGAAGAAGAAGAACTGTTATTAGGGGAGGAGGAAGATGAGTTGGAGGCAGAAAGCACTGCAGTGGCCTGTGGTGGTAACAGTAGCAGCGGCAAGGGTGAAGCGGGGGAACAAGCTGTCTCAAACCAAAGCATTTCCAAATCTCCTTTATTAATGCCTAGTAGCGCTCTCCAGCCTTCTGCCTGCACCTCTGCGGTCAGTTCCACACTAAACAGCAAAGACCCTGCTTCCACTTCCTCCTCTGTCAGGAAAGAGGGTTCAATGGCAGACGGTGGAGGGAGGACCTCTGAGCTCCCTCTGAGCTTTAACTGTCAGGGACCCACTGTTCCCATGACAATGTCGGCAGCTGCTGTCAGAAGGAGCGAGGACGACACTGCTGGCACTTCCTCCTCACCTCTGTCCTCCAATGCTGCTGCTGATGAAAGTGCCAATCGTGATAGTGCCATAGCTCCAGAACCAAATGATTGCTCAGCAGAGGGAGAGGAAGAAAATGGAGCCCTTCTGCACCATCACCACATGCTCCATCATCATCATCACCTCCACCCATCATCTCAAGGCCTCGCGCACCTCTTCCCAGGAGGCTCCTGTGACATAACAGGGATGGGCGAGTGTTCCCAGAACCATGGGCCTGGTGGCAGTGGCAGTGGGGTAGAATGCCCTAAATGTGACACCGTTCTGGGTTCTTCACGCTCCTTGGGTGGACACATGACCATGATGCATTCACGCAACTCATGCAAGACACTGAAGTGTCCGAAATGCAACTGGCATTACAAATACCAGCAGACATTGGAGGCACACATGAAAGAGAAACACCCAGACTCTGGAGGAACCTGTTCGTACTGCACAAGTGGTCAGAGCCACCCTCGTCTGGCTCGTGGAGAAAGCTATACCTGTGGATACAAGCCCTTCCGGTGTGAGGTATGTACCAAAGAAATGGGTTGCCATTTTTTTTTTTGGTGAGCCATTCAAATGTATGTCAAATGGGAACCGATGGTTAATGTAGCATATGTTTACTTTATTGCAGTTCAAATATATATATATGGTCTTATATTTTCTAGGTGTGTAACTACTCGACCACCACAAAGGGCAACCTAAGCATCCACATGCAGTCGGACAAGCACCTGAACAACATGCAGACACTAGCGAATGGAGGCACCATTGGAACTGGACAGGAGCAGGTATTTGGACATACCCCAGGAGGAGTGGTTGCAGTCCCCTCAGTGACCCAGTCCAGTAGCCATCACCCTCCACACCACCATCCAACACAGTCCTCCACGCATATGGCTGGACCGTGTGGGGCCCCCTCCCCGACCAAGCCGAAGAGCAAACCCACTTGGCGGTGTGAGGTATGTGACTACGAGACCAATGTGGCACGGAACCTGCGTATCCACATGACCAGCGAGAAGCACATGCACAACATGATGCTACTCCAGCAGAATGTTACTCAAATGCAGCATGGACGACTTGGCTTGGGAGCAATGCCTTCACCATCTGAAGCTGAGCTCTACCAATATTACCTGGCCCAGAACATGAGCCTTCCACCAGGCCTCAAGATAGACCCAGCTGGAGCTGAGGCCCAGTTCCTGATGGGGAGCTTTCACCTTGATCCCAACATGGCTGCCCTGGCCCCTGCACTTGGTGAGTGCCACTTTGCCTTACTTGCTCTCAGAAATGACCATAGTAACCACAAAGTCCCCAGGAATTATTACTTTTAGCATAAATTAGTTTCAGTTTAACTTAATCTTGGAGAACACACATTTTTTTTATTTAAATCACTTTTCAATGTGCTAACATACAAAATTAGGAAGATGGAAAATTGCATATTGCCCCTCTCTTTTGTTTCTTTCTTATGCCCTAAGGTATACCTGCCCTAGTACATTTAACATTATTCTCTCATTTTAAAAGCAGAGTGTCTCTGAAATATAAAGTAGGAGTGGTGAAAGAAAGATAATCCATTTGAGACAAGTTTATAGCTGGGGGCTTACCCTAGACCCTGTCCATATTTCCTTACTGATGGTGTTCATGATCATTTTCATTACGACAGTAGGCCTATATGCTCAATGCCTTTATCCTACATCAATAGTTAAACATTCTAGTGCCAAATACCAGTCAATTATTTCATCTACAAATGTACTTGCTGTACATTTATCTATAATATAAAGAGATACTTTGTTTTTGTTTTTAACAAGACATCTAAGTAATACTTTTTAAATGGGATTTTGAAAGAATTTTGAAGTTCATGTTGTGATACCTGCTCACAAAAGGTGAGTTATAGTGTCGCAACTCTATTTTTTGTTCTCCATGTCCTATATCTCAGGCAGCTGCCCTCAGCTTTTTCATGTCATTATTCGCTAACTGCTGCTGAACTTTACTACTGGAGTTCTACATTTTTTCAAAATATGTAATTGGTGCTATAAATTGTATCTTGGTCAAAGAAGGGAGGTTAGAGGGCTCAGCATGGGTAATTCACAAGCATAGCAGAGCGTTTGGCAGGCCAGTTACAACCCAAAAGTTTGTACAAACTTGTCTCCAACTGTCGCCAGTTCAAAGACAAACACGTATTGATTGCTGGGACTAATTCTTTTGAGCTTTTCTGCCATCTGGTTCATTTTCCTGTGAGGTGAGTTGTAATAAGCATGTTACAAGGGAGGCAATGATGACACAGTCTGGGCCCATAAACTACAGTGGTGTTATCCTCTGTCACACTTTAAGGAACTCATAAAGCCATCATACACAAACAGTTTGATGTTAACTCTACAGTATGATACATAAGGCTTAGTAAATCTCTTGGAGAATCTGCCATAACAAGGAGATCCCAGACCAGGCAGCTAAAGCAAGAGGTTCTCTTTCATGCTCTCACTGTGGATTTTTGACTTTTGAGTGCATTGCCGAAAAGATAGATAACAAATGTTAACCTCACATGATCTCACCCTCATCCTCGTTCCCGAGACTCAGCTACTGTAGTGAAAGGAAGATATGAGATGGAGGGCAAGAGAGTAAAAAAGAAGGGAGGGGGATGTCATTTTAAGCTATTTTTGCTGGAATTGAATGTCTCACATACACTGTGAAACAGCACAAAGGACAAGTCAGAGTTATGCACTTTAAAACATTATGGTGAGAAAGTAAATAAGCAAGATGGTAATGTGTTTAGATTTTCTTGTAAGATTCATATAGTATTATCAATCATATATATGATGTTTCTGAAAAAACTTGTGTTTAAAATACAAAATATGTGAAAACAAAGCTCCATACCAGGGTCTTCATCTAATGGTCTTCAACCAGGGTTCAGGGAGGAGTATAAGCCAAGTACGGGGTGAATCATTGAATCTAAATAGTAATGCTGCATGAGAGCCAGGTAGAAGGTGCAGGAAAAGATAGTACTGATTTAGCTATTGGATATGTTTGTTTGTAAGATAGAGAGTGTTAGAAGCCATGAATGCAGAGCTGGGTCTGTGAGTAATTTCAGAGGGCTTCTCAAAGGTCTCCCTCTCCTGGCTATAAAAACTCAGGTAATGGAGAAAAGTCCAAGAGAAGGCTGCATACTGCAGCAATAAATAAAAAGGAGCTGCTGGAATTAATTTAGTGTAAAGCTGGGCAGGGTCAAGCCTGTATGCTCAGTCTGGGCAGTTAAAGATTAAAGATCAGCAAGCCAAGGCAAAAACTCTGGCTGCTCTTACCTCATATTTTTAGCATTCATTTTTCAGACAGCCTACCCAGACTGTATAGACATCAGTTCTACGGTTTGTGTCATATGATATGTGCTTGCTGTGTTTCCCCCCCCCCCTCTCCTCATGGTTTAGACTCAGTACCAAGCAGAATTAATCTGTTAGGTGTCCATATTGATTTAGAGGCAATCTGAAGTGAAATAAGCAGAAGAATCCAAGGAGCGAAGTGGATTTTTTTAATACAATTTTTCTGTGAAAAGTGGCAACAGATTTGATTTACAGTAATGTGTGCTTTGGAACTCCTTAGTTCTTCAGTAATGATAAAATAACTTGCTTTTTCTGTGGAGCTCATGGCCTCTGGAGTTGATTTACAGAAGGCCATGAAAGTCCAATAGCCAAAGCAGGGCTATGTGTATGTTCTTTCTCTGGCAGTGTGAGGTCCTCATGGAAAATGTCCCGGCTTTGTTCTTTCTCAGCTCAAAGCAAGGTCCATATACAATTTCATGCACGTGTCGTTTATCCTCCACGTGATTTTATACTGACTGACACAGATAAAGTAAAACTTTGGAAAACCACACTGAGATGTAATTCATTTTGAGAGTGGAATAAACAGACAGAAAACACTTTGCTCAAAAACTCAAATCATTTAATAATGATGTCCTGAAGTGAATTACTGAGAAATAAAGTGATCTTTACAACTGGACTCCAGTTCAGAGTGTTAGCTTTGAATATTTCTAAATGTCTCTTTTCCTCTTTTTTTTGTTTCTTTCTTTGTGTATCCCCACATTTTAGTAGGTGGGGAGATCCCTATGGATGTGCGGCTGGGCAGTGGGCAGTTGGTGTCCGAAGAACTGATGACCCTGGGAGAAAGTCTATCACAAACCAGCGACCCCTCCCTCAAGCTCTTTCAGTGCGCTGTATGCAACCGCTTCACCACTGACAACCTGGATGTGCTTGGCATGCATATGGGAGCTGAACGCAGCCTACCGGAGGAAGAATGGCGTGCTGTGGTGGGCGACTCTCACCAGTGCAAGTTGTGCCACTATACCACTCAGCTCAAGGCCAACTTCCAGCTGCACTGCAAGACAGACAAGCATGTGCAAAAGTACCAGCTTGTGGCCCACATCAAAGAAGGGGGCAAAGGCAACGAATGGCGTCTGAAATGTGTGGCCATAGGCAACCCAGTGCACCTGAAGTGTAACGCCTGCGACTACTACACTAACAGCCTGGAGAAGCTGAGGATGCACACTGTCAACACCCGGCATGAGGCTAGCCTCAAACTCTACAAGGTTAGTAAATCTCCTTTATCAAGTCTACCACTCAACTTCCAGGGTATTACCATTTTCCTATCATTACTGAACATATACCTAACTGGGCGTAAAGAGCATGTTCATAGGTAGAATGTCTCACTATTTGAGGTTTTATAATATGACCAAGAGAAGCAGTATGTTTGTGTCATATTAAGGAATATTTATTATCCGATTAAACTTTGATGAGTCTAACCAAAATGGCAACATGTGTCGGTAATCCTTGATACTCCTCCGCAAGAAACAGTAAATGTTCCAGTGCAGCCCACAGCACTAAACTAGCTGCTCTCCCAAGGCATGAATGATAGCTTTGTTGTGTGCCTCTTGGCTTCCAAGTATTCATATAGAAGCAGGACCACAGTGCTGCTATGAGAAGAACATGGCAAGTGAAGCTGGCTTGGAGGCTTAGGGTGAATCACTAGGAGACGAATAAAGAAGTGTGAGGAGACAGAGGTTTGGTGCTAATACTCCTCGGAGCGGGAAAGGCTGAATCGTTCTCGACAGCCGTATTGATTTTTGCTGGACTTGGAGCTTCACCTTCTCCTCTAATCATTCCATAATAGCCAATGGATGAACACTCTACGAACAAATGGCCATAAATCTAACAGGCCTGATTCCACTTAGGTACCTATCCTGTGAGTCTGCGGCTTTGGCCACTCGGCGCTTAACCCAAACTGGCATAGCTGCACATGCACAGACACATAGCACACAACAAAAAAACATACAAACAGTGACAATATACACTTTCTGCAAGCCTACATAACATACACACCAGCAGAATCTAAAATATAACACTGTAATTGGCATCTTCTAGTGGATGTTGCCTTTATTTATAGTAAGTCCACTTTATTGTCAAGTGTTTGACTCTTAAAAAGTAAACAGGAAGAACTATTTAAACAGTTATATTGCTTGCCATTTTTATGATATCATAGTGTGACAAAAATGCTTGTGAAAGAATGTGCTGCTTGCTTCAAGTAAGATGTTTTTAATCCAATTAAAAAAGGACGGTTTAATGGGACATTTAAACCTCCTGAAAAGGATTTCTATTTGAAAATCATCCAGAATTATTATTGGAAAAGATAGAAAGTGTTTTGTTAAAGGGGAATGGGTGATGTAGGACTCATAGTACAGTGGTTATTCGGCCAGGCGACACAGGAGGTGTTGAGGGGAGTAAATGCTATTTTGCACCAGCACAAGCAAGAGGACCACAGGAACAATTTCAGCTGCAGATGGTATTTATAGATGCATAGAAATGCAAATATGCAACACAATCTGCAAATATGTTGAGTCAGTTGTGAGACAGCAGAAAATCATAGGCAGTTATCCTTCTGTTTTGTTCTAGCCCATGGTCATCCTCTCTTGGCATTAGCTGCTGGACTTACTGGCCCACAAGCCAATGACAGTCTCACATTATAGACCAAAATAGACTGTGGCATTCTCTCTCTCTCTCTCTCTCTCTCTCTCTCTCTCTCTCTCTCGTCTCTCCTCATCGTCTCTCTCTCTCGCTCACTCTCTCTCTCGTCTCTCTCTGTCCTCCTCTCTCTCCTTCTCTCCTCTCTTCGCTCTTCTCTCTCTCTCTCTCTCTCTCTCTCTCTCTCTCTCTACTCTATGGAAAGACTTGTTTTTTTCTCACATGACAGGTTACAGTTTATATTACATTATCCTTGTGCTTTACACTTTGCTGTAAACCTGAAAGGCAAAAGAGATGTTTTTCCCCCCCTCTTTCTCTTTTTTTTAAGAGAGAAGAGACATATGTCATACTGCAACTCAGGCTGCAGGGGATTAAATATGTACAACACATCCAGGCATGATCATATTTTATGACTTAAGCCTCTTAAGATGGCTCCATATTTCTTAAAACCAATTGATCTTCTGAGTAAGAGTGTACGCATTTGTCCAGAAATTACCTGTTATTTCAACCCGAGAACACGAGTAGTCCTCATAAGCTCTCCTCACAACAGACACTGCTCAAAAACAGAGATGTTCTGAATTTGACATGAATCATTAAAATATTTTATGACTTACAAATGTGATTAGCGGACAACAAGTACATGGTTGTGAGGCCTCTTTGGCAGCGCAGGCTCCCCACTTGACAATGTCACAGTCTTCATACTGCATTCGATTTACTGTCCTGGTAGAGATACTGACAGGCAGTAACCCACAGTGGCCCACAATCCCGTAAACCCAACTTGGTATATTATGCATAGACGGAGAAAAAAAAAAATCCCCATTCGTTTATTCTTCCCAAAAGAAATCTGATGCAAATAGGACCATTTCTAACCTTTTTGGGGAGAGAATAAATCATCAAGTCAGCATAAACAGGCTGTATGATGTGGGAGATGCTTGGGACACTTCACCCAAATCAAACTGGTTTGCATTAAACAGGCCCTTTGTGTGCACAGCTCCATATAAATTGGAGCCTGTAATTACTGGAATTAAAAAGGAAGGTTTAAACTGAGGGCTAAACTGGATGGGATAATTTGAGAGTCTGTGGTATGCGGCCCATATTAGGGCTTTCTAAAAATATCACCCCAACTATTGGAATGTTCCAAAAAGACCACAGAAAGTTCCTGCAAGTCATCCTGACCACATTGACCAACACACAGTGGGGGGTGATGCCATCTTCCCCTGTATAGTATACTGTGTTCTCTGTTGAGACATACCCATTCTGAGCGCTGTGTGCTCAGCCAACACACCACTGGTCTTTAAAGTTACATTCTCCTTTTTTCCCCCCATTTGACCATGGGATTTTCAGTGGCATTGATGATGGCATGATGGTTACCCATCTGCTCCTAGAGTGGTCACTCCTAAACACAAACATATGGGTTCTTTCGAAGTATCCAGATAACCCAAACGTTAGTGTACTGTATGTTTATAGAATATGTAGCGTCCCCTGAGACTCTCTCTTCATCTTTTTGTGCAGTTAGCCACGTATAAAATCGTTGAATATTACAGCCTTTATACCACTCCTAGAAGGCCTCAGGGCTTGGCCGTGTGTTAGTGTGGAGGTGAGATGAGTTAAACTAATCCAGCTCCCAGGCCCTGGCCGCTCTGGCCAGACAGATAGGGTGGGGCCTAGCCAGGCCCGGCCACAGGCCTCAGCTTCCAGTCAAGGGTTGGGGGAAAGGGGAGGAGCATAGGGAGTTAGCTGGCTACCTTCCTTGTCTCGGGGGCCGGTGCAATCGGCGGTAATTGAGATTGATTGGATGTTATTTTTCCTCTTGCAAATGTAGTCCATTAGCTTGGCACATGCATAATCAGTTTAGAGCGCAGTTAGCCGAATGTAATCATGTTCCTCGGTGTCTGCTAGCACAAAATCCACTCCAGATGCCGCTTGGCCATGGAAAGAAAGGGAGAAAGTGCCGTCACTATCAGATGGGGAATCTTTAACCAAGAAAGTCCTGACACCCCTCCCTCTCTCCGGGTCCCGCTCTATTGAGCTCACACATAACTATACAAACCTCTAACCTATCTCTCTCTTAGCCATACACACATAGTCATATCCACTATCTGAACCTTTACCATTGAGAACAGGGCTTTTGATCATATTTTCTGTTTTGAATTGCACTAACATAGTGTTAAGTGAAGCCCAGTTGCTGGCCTATTAACTAACACAATACATCTGTATCTTGGAAGGAATTACTGCTCTTATTTTACCCTTCAGCGCAATCCAAAAGAATCGGTGAACACTGAGGAAAGAAAATGTCTAAACTCTACAGAGAGCAAATAATCACAATGAAACATAAAAGAGGATGAGAGTTAGTCATGTAAATTAAAGGATTAGTGGTTACATGAAAAGGCATTAAGGTGGCTCACTGATGATCCTACTCAGCAGAAACACTGGCTCTTTCAGAATCAGGAATGCAATCTGTGTTGACCTCTCCCCATTAATGATCTTGACTGCCAGGAATGACTCCAATTGTTTGCCTTTTAAATTGTTTGTTGTTGGGGTATAGCCTCTAACAGGTTATAGTTGTATTCCAGCTATAGGAAAATATAAATCAAACAGATTGTATTGTATTTTGGACGCATGCAAGAGATCAATCCAGCTGACTTAGATTGAGGCCAAGTGCTACTGTATATGACAGGATGTTGAGAGTTGTCAGATTTGAAAACATTTACAGGATTATCATAGAATAGTGTTGCCCTTCACCACAGTGACAGGGTTTACCATTTGCATATCTAATTCCTCCACTAAGCCTTAACTGTTCAGTGAGGTCCCAATAATTGTTTATGTTTTGGTGGGCCTATTGTGTGGGCAAACAAAAATGCCCAACCTGTACCTCTGGCGAACGCCAAGATAAAAATGACTGCAGGTACTGTAAGATGCCCTCTGGCAAAATGACATCTAGCGGGCGCCTGGCCTTACCCGCTCACCCACCAGACATTTATAAGAAGAGGAGGGGTAGGAGGAGGATGGAGAGACAGACAGGAGAGAGGGGATGGAGGGGGAGGGGGGCGACAGGAGGGTTGGAAGGATAGATACTCTGCTAATTATCATGGCTAGCCTATGATTGTTCAGTAATAGTGCTCAGTGGGAAAGGTTGCAGCAGTTCCAGGAAGAGCTGAGCTCTGATTTACTGGTACTACCGCTCTAATAAAGCGCTTGCTGCACATCCTGGGAGACAGCCCATTCTCTCCTTTCACATGCACAAGCGTGTGAATGCGCACACACACACACACACACACACGCACACACACACACACACACACACACACACACACACCACACCACAATCTTGTGATCTAAAGTGCCAGCAGATGACAACATAGGGCTCATTAAATGTATCATTTTAATTGTTCAAAACGAAGTTCTCATAGTATGAGTTGTATGATTATGTGTAAAAGATATAATAGAAGCATCACACTAAGGAAGTATTTGAATTCTGTATGTGCCCCTGTAACACCTTCTCAGTCAACATGGTCATGATCCTGAATCCAAATTGCCCTCTATGTATTAGTTTTCGGCTGCAGGGCGTTGA